TAAATTAGCTGAAATGTAAAACCTCTGAAATTTAGTCCTCTGGCTCCCCAAGCAGCTTTATCTATTCTGGTGGGCAAAGAGAAATAATAATCTTCATGTCCAGAACCCTGATCTATTTTGGAATGCCAAATAACACATCTTTTATTTTAGCTTCTCAGCTGCTATAAGGGAAAAAGAACTTTGTCCAGAGTGACAGGCAAAAAAACTGGAGTCCATTTCTTTTTCTGTAGAGACTCTAATGCTAAGGAAATAAAACATGTAGCCATTTAAAATGTTACAACCATGAGGTCCAACTTCTTGAAAGTTCCTCTCACTGTGCCCGCCCCCCCCCACTCCCCGTGGGACTGTGACAATTCAGCAGCAGCAGCAGCAGGATGCCCTTGGGCCACGATGCAAAGAAGGACTCCTTGCTGGACTTTACAAAAACAACCCGAGACCCATCAACTCCTGTGTCCCCAAGTGAACTAGGAGTAGGACTGTAACAAGAGACAGGAACTTGGCCTAATAACTAACCAAGTCAGATAGTAAAGGGCATTTGTTAAGAGATGTGCCTATCCCTGCCCTCTGCTGTGGCTACACAGGATTCCAGGATATGTGAAAAATGTAAAACAATCTTCCTCCAAAACTTCTAAGTCACCACTCCATTTTCAGCCTTGGAAAGCGACACATAAACAAGGCTTTTTCTTACTAACAGAGCCCAGTATTTACCCTCCTAAGGATGCCTTATATGGCGGAAAGTCAAATGGTGATATTTTTATTTCACTGTATTTTCCTTTTGATTTTTTCACATAAGTGGTATACAATAAACATTTACATTTTATTATGTCTAAAAAAGATCTATGTATGTTTTACATATAAGTCTATTTCATAAGAATGCGTTTTTCAGTTATAGTTTTTTTCCCTTAGTGGCAGAGAAAACAATCGTGCATTTTACAACCAATGACATCTTAAAACTCCATGAAATAAGGCAGTTAACTTCAGTCAACACCCTCCCTTATTCTGTTTACTGCTACCAAATACCATACGTTTTTTTGTGTCTGATGTGGTCACATTACGGCATCACCTGTTTTATGTTTTTTTATGATAGAATATCATAAAAGGGCTGATTTTGTTTTAAGGAAAAAAATTTGCTTTACATAGGAACTTTGAAGGGAAACTCAAATTAAGGACAGTGCCTACGTCAGAGATTTATACTAAGTAGGCTGAGTTTATTTTAAATTACATATAGCCCAACTCCCTATTTATAGTACAAAGAACCACTGAACTTCCAAACACAAGTAAAGTAAATCCCTACAATTAATTTAAGTTCTGCCTGTATTGGTGGGAGTTTTGCGGCCTGTTTTGCAGTTCCTTAATGATGCTTAATTCTAAACACCTGGAAAGAACTGGTTTGTGAAACCCCAAAACCAGGAACAGACAGAGACTAGGCTCTGGTTTCCTGCCTTCTCTGATATCCCAGAGACCTACTACACTTTGTCAAGGCTCTCAGCTCCTGCTCGCAACAGATCAGGAACCTGGGACACTGGCCGTAGTAACTCCCCTTAAGCTTGATAACTATTCATTCTGCCTCCCTGAATACCTCTGATGTTTCAAACCTAGATAGTTAAAAAAGGTAAAAATTCTCGGAATCCTGATTTCAGATCTCATGAACTAATCACCACCTCGAATCCTCCAGACTGAAACCATAATGGGCTTGGTATAAAGACATGAAATATGTGGGAAGGAGACTGAGAGAATTGTAGTCAGTTAACCTGCGGTTGACGAGGACAGGGCTCCAAACTTCCAGAAGCTGTTCGTTAATTCTGCTCCAGAATTAGGACAAGTATGACTACCCACAACTGTGTTCCAACCCCACTTCCAATAACCTGCCTTAGCTGTAGCCAAAATCCAGAGCGTTCTCGAAAACCAGTCACTCTGCAGCTCCCTTGCCGAGTCCGGACTGGCAATCTCGAGCCACTGCGGCTGCCCAGCAGAGCCAACAGCGCCCAAGCAGCTGCCCTCCTTGCTGCTTAATTTAAGAAACAGCCCTGAAAGAATGAGGACCTTAGAAAGGGTGGAAGGAGAGGGTTTGACGTGTGGAGCACGAGACAAAACCCCTCACCCTTCTTTCTCTATCACCTTAGACTTCTGGGGTAACCGTGGGACCACCAGGTCAATAACGGAGACACACAATACCTCGGGCCCAGACTAGCGCTCGTTGGGGTATAATTACTGAGAAAAGGAAGTGAGGACAGCAAGAGCTTCGGAGACGCAAAGGGCTGAGACACAAGATACAGAAGTTAACAAGAGAAGGAAGGAGTCGGGGGCGATGTAAGAAGGCGTCATCACAGCCGCGCCGCCACCCGCCCCCCCCCGCAACAGACCTCCGAGACCCCCTTAGAGGCCCGGCCTCTACAATGAGGACAACCTTCCTCTCTGCTGGGCAACAACGCCATGCCTCAGCTCCTCAGCCAGGCGGAAGCAGGAGAGGAGGGCAAACCTCCAAGAGCGCCCCTTCAGGGGGTCCATCCTGACTCGATCTCAGATGGGGGAGGGGGGATTCTCGGAGGGCGGGGCATTGCCTCTGTAGGGCCTGCACCACGGCAAGGACGGGGTTACCGGAGCCATGGAGCTGAAGATCGCCCCTTCCCCTACCCTGCCACCCGCTTACCTCTTGGCTTCCTCGTCGTCTAGCAGCTCTGGCTCGGTCGCCGCCATTACCACATCGCACTCCGCGGCAGCCGCCATCTTACCGCCGGGACCAGAGAGCCGGGTGGGAGGTCGGCGGTGAAGAGCACTTCCGGTCGGAGCATCGAGCAGCTCGGCGGCGCTGCGCCCAGAGGGGCTACCTCGGGCCCGTCTACCAGCGAGAGGCTCTGATTGGGGCCAGAGCGGCCTCCCGCCCCCGGAGGTCCAGGGTGGTCTCCTCGCCGGAGCGGGGGCCCAAGGACGGTTTCTGTGCGTAGGGGGCGCCACTTTACCCGTGGGTCGGAAGGGGGAATACAGGAGGGTGTCGGCTCTCTAGGCTTTGGCTTTCCTCAGTATTCTGGGAGCCTCGTTGCCATAACAACTTCCAATCCTAGAGAGTCTCCTGTGAGGCTCAGGGAGTCTGAGTTGGGTAGGGACGCGGTGACCCTGTACCCTGGAGAGAAAGTGCCCCCCACTACCACCTTCCCGACCTTGGAGTATGTCCACAGCTTCCTCCCGCGAAAGGCAAGAAGAGACACTCTGAATCCAGTTTCCCCAGCGTTCATCGGCCCCTGGAAGCCCTGACCAACCAAGCCAGGGGAACGCAGGGCGTCTTCACACCGCGCCTTTCATCCCCTCCGGATCTCCAAGCACGAACTCGTTCATCACCCTAATGACGCTGACCTTTTTATGAGGCTGCTTTCATGCCAGCCGCCTGGGAATGCCATCTCAGCATTAAGCCTAGGGAGGGTGGCGCAGGGCCCCAGATCCTGCCCTGGAGTTTATAAGGTAGCTCGCGGGGTGAGGTCCCTGCTCTACAGTGTCTTCAGTGCTCCCAACCCTCATATAAACTCTGTGCTCAGCACGCTTGTCTTGCCGATTGCAGTCTGGATTGGGAACTCAGAGAGGGCAAGGACACAGCCCTTCGTAGTACTTCCCTTCACCCAAACCAATAATTTTTGTGGACCTGAGTTAAACAGGGGTTTCCTGAGGTTAAACTGGGGGAGTTTGAGGTTAAAATTTTAAAGTTAAAGGGTACTAAAATAAGAATGGGTCAAGAGAATTTTAAAAGGATTTACCCCGCCCCCCAGACCCCTGACGCCCTTGCTTGCTTCTCCAGTAAAACAGTCTGTGCCATTGTCCATAGGACGCTTGCATGGTTCTTCCTATCACAGTGCTGAGGGAGCTGAGATCACACCCAACACTGGGGAGCGGAAGATGGGAGAGGCTCAGGGGTTTGGAAGAGAGAAGTCATTCAGCCAGCCAGTCATTCAACAGCCCTCTCCAAAGTACCTACTTTGTGCTGGGATGGGAAAGCGCAGACTCAGACCATCTAACCTGCTTGCCAATGGCTCACGGTCTACAGTCTAATGCAGGAGGCCCATCTGTCTTTAACCATCTTCCTCCTTTGTGTTCTCGGCATCTAAAACTCCCAAGTTACCACCAAGTCTTGTTGATTCTCTTACCAAATGTCTCCCAAATCTATCTCCTTTCCATCCCAATTCAGATTCTCATCATTTTTTGGAAAACTTGGAATACTACCATAGTCTAACTAACCCCAAGTCTCACCTCTCTCCAACCTTCACTCTTTTACCAGAGTGATCCACTTAAAAGCAAAAACTGATCATGTCACTTCGCTGGCATAAGTCGTATCAATGGCTTTCCACTGCTGTTAGGATACAGTTTGAACTCTTTGGCCAGCACACAGGCCTTTGATTATTTGGCTCCTTTCTACCATCAGTAATGAACCCAAATACTTGTAGTTCCAGTAAATGCCATGACTCTTGCCGTATTTCCTCCACCCTTTCCTCCCACACCCTTCAAACTTCAACACGGACCTGACCTCCTCTAGGAAGTTTCCGCGGAGAATGTAATGCCCACTGCCCCCAAGTTAAATGCCCTTAGTTGTGCTCCCATAGCACCTCTGTAATAGTTCTTACCATGCTGTACTGTAATTATTGGTTTAGATGTCTAGCTCCTCTAGATGGTGACGTTCTAATGGGCGGCAACGGTGTCTAATTCCTCCGCTTTTTCTCAGCACGTGGTCCTGTACCTGGCACAGAGTAGGAGCTCAGAAGACATTGGATGAATAAATGACTGAGTAAACAAAGTGTTACTGTAGTAGCCTTTAGAGAAAGAACATATGGGCATCTGAGGCACCAAAACAGCACCCGGCCGGTCTAGGGAGCCTAGAACCCTGTGCTCTGGAGACCATTCAGCCCAGGTCCCGGCCGTCATTTCCCCGCCGGCCTCTGGAGGCGCTGTTCGGCTGGCGCCGGCTCTCTGCCGCCAAAATAGTTCTTGCGGGATGGAAGCTACGGGGCGGGGCCAGACGGAGCCCGGAAGGACCCGGAGGAAGATCCGAGTGTTTGCGGCCGTGCTGCCCCACCCCTGGTCCCGGCGCGCGTAGAGGGGCCCGGCCGGGCTGCTGCGAGGGCCCCAGGAGGTACGGAGCTGGGAGGCCGGGATCGACCACTGCTTCCGGACCCTTTAGGTGGCAGGATTCCGATTCCCTCTGGGAGCCCTCTCGTGGGGAATTCTGTTCCGGAGGTCCGCCTAGCAGTCGGGGTATCCCTTAATTTCGGGGCTCACTATATGAGGCCCCTCGCGGGGAGGGGGATCTGTACTAAGAGTTTACTTTGGAGAGGTTTCTGTTTAAGATCCCTTTGGAGAGTGATCTCTGTATCTCTCCTCTGGCGGGGGCGGAATCCTTGTCTGGGGTTCCTTCTGGGAAGCCTGTGTTTGGGATGCCTTCGAGGAGATCTCTGTTTGGGACCTCCAAACAGAGAAGGGATTTCTGTGTCTAGGCCTTATCTGGGTTTGTCAGTTCAAGAGAAACAAAATTTTTCTTTTTTCTGAAGCGTTTTTTTCCTTAGATTCCTTCACTCTTTTGTTTCTGTCTTTTTCATCTGAGCCATGGCCTTGACTGGGAATTCGAGGGAACTAATTGTCTGGATAAGCCATACGGGAAAGCAAAATGTTCTTCCTAATTGTTCATTCTCCCCAGAAAGAGTGGTATAAGACAGATCCACACAAAATAATAGTCCTGCTTATTTCTCCATGGGGTCATGGTTAAAGAGAGGGAGCTGAGCCAGAGCTCCCTTCAGCAACTGGTCCTCCACATCCTGTGCACAGAAAGGAACCTGGCTAGTGGTTCCTTTAAACCAGCGACTCTCTTCCCCCTTTATGGCAACGCTTACCGAGCACCTGCTCTGTGTCAGTTACTGGCTTCGTACTGGGAATAAGGTGAATAATATACAGCTAACTGTCCAGTAGTGGATATAGACACATCACTTTAGTACACCCTGCCTAGGGTAGCAGACAGGGCCGAACCCCTGAGGCCATGCATCCACTTCAGAATTTGCATCCTCAGTCAAGGGAAGTTTGCCCTTGGTTTTGATCCTGCCTCACCCAGTGTGCTTCCGTTCTTCAAGGTTGAAAGCTAAGCATGGGGAAGAGCTGCAAGGTGGTCGTGTGTGGCCAGGCTTCTGTGGGCAAAACTTCAATCCTGGAGCAGCTTCTGTACGGAAACCACGTAGTGGGTGAGTGTTGCTGGGCGTGAGGCATGGTGGAGGAAGTGGAAGAATGAGGAGAGGATTTGATCACAACACGAAAAGGCTAAAGGTCGCTGCTGCTGGTCATTACACCGAAAGATCCCAACTCTACAACACTGAGGGCATCTGGAAAGAGAAAACCCAATGTCCGAGATAGGAAGGAAAAACTTCCGTGTCACACTGTGTTTAGCAAGATATCAGCGTGAGATTAGAGCTGTTCCCCCAAGTTATTCCAGTCTGGCCAGACTCGCAGTCTTTGGCCCTCTCTCCTCAGCCCCCATGTACCTTTCTCTCCCTGTCTGGTTGGCCTGTTAGGATATATTCAGTCACTCATGTTCCCAATCTCTTTTCTCCCTAGAAACAAGTTTTCTCCTCATTTTGTCCCAGGTTCTGAGATGATTGAGACGCAGGAGGACATCTACGTGGGCTCCATTGAGACTGACCGGGGGGTGCGGGAGCAGGTGCGTTTCTACGACACCCGGGGGCTCCGAGATGGGGCTGAGTTGCCCCGGCACTGCTTCTCCTGCACTGATGGCTATGTCCTAGTCTACAGCACGGACAGCCGAGAGTCCTTTCAGCGCGTGGAGCTGCTCAAGAAGGAGATTGACAAATCCAAAGACAAGAAGGAGGTGTGTGTGGGAACCCTGGTGATGAGAGAGAGTGGGCCCTGGGCTGGCTTTGGGAGGCCTGGAAAGGCTCTGTTTTTCACTGATTTGCCAGGATGTGGGTTTAGAGCTGGAAGGCGGAGATGGAGGCCACTGGAGGGTGTCTTCACTCCTAGAGGTGGCCGTATGTTGAGGCAGCTCTACCAAAGAGGCTTCTCCAGTTTAAGACGTCCTCGCTAGTCTTTCTTTATAATGGTTCTGTGCTCTCCCCTGTGAAGGCCCTTTTGTTCTCAAATCCCGCTTTAAGCTGCAGGCATTCTGGGAGCGCTTCCTCACCGGTTACTTTGCCAACAACTAACTGACTGCCAGTAATGATCAGGCATTGGTGACACAGGGCTTGTAATGGAACTCCTCCAGATGGAGGCCCCTGTCCACAGTTTCTAATACAGGAAGAGATGAGACATCAGCCATTGAGACTTTCCCTCTCCTAGGACTCCGAGGTGGAAATGGTTGCTTTTTCCTCTCCTCCCTCTGTTCAAATTCTGGCCTCCATCTGGCACCCCCTCCAGGCGTTCCATTACAAGCCCAAGGTGGTCACTGGCCCTCACGACCATTCCTGAGGTCCATGCTACAGCCACGGGCCTCTACTCTGTCCCTCTTCCCCAGGTCACCATCGTGGTCCTTGGCAACAAGTGTGACCTGCAGGAGCAGCGGCGTGTAGACCCGGATGTGGCTCAGCACTGGGCCAAGTCAGAGAAGGTGAAGCTTTGGGAGGTGTCGGTGGCTGACCGCCGCTCACTGCTGGAGCCCTTCGTCTACCTGGCCAGCAGGATGACCCAGCCCCAGAGCAAGTCTGCCTTCCCCCTCAGCCGCAAGAACAAGGGCAGCGGCTCCTTGGATGGCTGAAGAGCTGCCTTGCCAGCTCTGGAAGATGGGTTGAGGGGAAAGGGAGGGGGGGTTTTAGGCAAGCTGTCCTTCCCAGTCAAGGGGGGAGCTCCCCACTAGGCCAGGCAGCTGGGCTGTCCCAGGCTCAGGTCACTTTTGCTCCCTCCCAACTCTGGGAAATGCAAATAGTCTAGGTTAGCGGTCCCCAAGCCCCCCAGTCCCCATCCTGCTGTATCCTAACAGCAATGGAAAGCCATTGATAGGATTTATGCCAGTGAAGTGATATGATCAGTTTTTGCTTTTAAGCAGGTCTAGGGTGGTTTTGGATCACTGTTCCTTCTGCCGGCCCTGGACAGGAAGCAGAGCTGTGTGTGGAAGTGCCCAGTCTAGGGTCTGATTCCTATCGCAGGGGTCTTACACCTCCGGGTTTCCTGCCAATCTCACACACACACACTCACAGGCTTACGGCACCAGCCTGGATTCTAGAGAAGGGGCATCCAGGTGTCTCGTTTGTGTGTGTGTGTGTGTGTGTGTGTAGACGTGCACACGTGTGTGTGCTGGTGTTCGGGGCGCCTCCTCATCCAACACCCTGACCTCTCTCCTGTCCTCTCCTGGGCTGAGAGAAGCTAGCCTCCTAGGAGCATAATCTTGTTTCAACTCTTCCCCCAGCTTCCTGCTTCCCCTTCCTGCTCAGGGAGCATTTTCTTGGTTGAGGTGGAATGGAATGCCGACTGGGCTGGCTGGGAGTCACCAGCTGGCTTTGTGGCCCTGCGAGGCCTTTCCCCCCTAGGGGCTTCGGTTTTCTCAGCTGTAAGGTGACGGCAGTTGCTTAGATGATCTAGATCCTCTCCAGCCCCGTGTGGGTTGTATACTGCCCATGGTTGGGCTGGCTGCACTGTTCCCTTAGCTTCTCCCGTTTCAAGGTGCTATGCCTGTGGCCCTGGAGGCTGGGACACTGCTCCCCACCCCCCCAACCACCAGGGGGCAAGAGTGCACTACCCACTCTAGTTGCCAGAGTGGCTGCCCAGTGCCCGATCCGCGGACCTCACAGCCCTGGGGACTGGTCGTCACCCTTTCCTGTGGTTGTTTTCAGCTGATAGCTGGACTTCTATTTATAGATTACCTGTGTTTATATGCCTGCCGCCATGGTGGAGGCTGGGCAAGGTGCTCGTCTAGCCCTCCCTTCTTACCTCAGATGCCTGAACAGAGTAAAGCCGGCCAACAGCAGCTTCCCAGGAGCTGCCAGATCTCTGGGGGCTCAGAAGGGTGGCTACGCTTCCAACACGCTGTAAAGTGAGCTGCTGACCCACAACTTCCCGTGCCCACTTCGTGCTTCTGATGTACACATCTAGCATAGGTGAAGACACTACAGCCAGGTGACCTCCAGTACACGCCCCTTCTCCCCAAGGTAGGAGAGGTGAGCAGGGTCAGGTGGCCCAGGCTGGGCGAGTTAGGGCGTGTACAGGCCTGGGCTTAAATTGATTTATTGATGCGTTGGACACAATAAAACCACAACTGTTATCAAAAAGTTTCCCACCCTCCCCCCTTTTTCTTGTTCTCCCATTGGAAACAGCTTTAAAAAAGATACAGGTGGATACTGGCAAAGTCCCATATTGTGGGGTGAGGGTGGCAGTGCTGCTGGGGTGGGATGGAGGTTATGACATTAATTTTGACAGCATGAAAACGGGTCTTGAGAGTGGCTCCAAGTGGATCCCAATACTCAGGTGAGTCACAGTGAGGGGGCCTTGGGGTGCTCGTGGGGGAAGGGAAAGCTGAATTGAGCGCTAGGGGCCAGTTTGGGGTGAGAGCTGGAAGGGAAAGCTCTTTGTTTGGGAGCCCTGGGGGGATTCGGTGTTAGCTGGATCCATAGTCTGAGGGAGACCCAGTGTCACCCCCACCCTTCCCCCCACCCCGCCCCGAGAGCTGGGATTCAGGAGGAATCAATGAAAGGCTAAGAGAGGAGAACGTGTGTGGGACTGAGCACTTCCTCTGTTAAAAACTGGGCCCGGCCAGCACATTACCCTGGCCTCCCTGTCGTAGCCCATCCTGTCAGAGCGGATGGAAAGCCCCAGAGGCTTGCAGTTCCAGCCACCCCTTGGCTTTGCCCCACTTAGCACTGCTCCCTTCCTCCACAGTCTTCCACCACATCCCCAATGGTCAGCTCGTCCAGGTAACCTTGAACCCACTCCATCTTGAGACCCTGTGGTTGGGATGGCTGTGACTGTCCCCTTAGCTTCTCCCTTGAGACGGCCCCCTCAACACCAGTGATTCTCTAGAGAATCCAGTGGATGGGGAGGGCCTCCCCTCCCTGCCCCCAGGGCATGGGAATAGAGGCCGGGCTAGGAAAAGGTAAGATTCCTCGGACCTCGGGCCACACGGGTATAGGTCTTGAGTGGGAGAACAAGAGCACCACAGGGCTGGGGCTAGGATTTTGCATAGATCTTTGGATTTTCCAGTTTGTTCCCCATAAATCAGGATGGGAAATGGAGGGAGCCCAGGGCTAGCCCTAGAAGCCTGGGGAAGGGAGGGTGCAGGTGCATGGTCCTTGGGCCGGGGGGCATTAGTTGAATCCCCAGTGCAGATCGAGTGAAGGGCTCTTAGCATTAACCCAGCTCTTCCGAGATTGGGCAGGAACCCCTAGGCTGTAAAAGGCAGTCTCCTGTGGGATGCAGGGAACCGAGGCATCTTGGGGAGAGGAGGAGGGGGAGGGCAACTGCTGGGAAATCAGCCCCGGGCTCCCCAGGAGGGCTAATAGGGGGCAAAGACGATGGGTCCCGTGGCAGGGCGAACGGCTCCTGCTGGGGTGCGAAACAGAGCTGGGCCCAGGATCGGAGGCGGGAAGAGGGTGGTGGCTGCCGTAGGCGCAGGCCGGAGGGCCAGGGGCCCTGGGAGGGCACAGATGGTTGCCGCCGCGGTGGGGATCGGGCTGGGCAGGAAGCGGGCTGCCAGCGTCTTGGTGAGTTGCTTCTGCAAGGCCAGTTTAGACTGCAGAGAAGAGAGGAAAGGACTCAAGTCTCTGACCCCAGGAAAATCCTGTCCCCTCCCTGGGCCCCCTCCTTGGGCTTTTTGCTGTGGAGTGGGGGGGGAAACGTGACTGTCAGGATTCCAAACCTAAATCCTCCTCCCTTCCCACCCCCAAACATTCATTCCAAAGGGCTTTCTCCACCACCTGCCTTCCTGCCTGGAGGGAGGAGAATCTTAGGATGGGCCGAGGGAGGAGGCTCTGGGGAGCGGGGGTGGAGATGGTCTCTGGGAGATGCATGCCCACGCCTCGCTGTTGCCCCTGAGGTTACTACCTGGGCCCACCTTCCCCCCGGAAATGTTTCTGAGCAGATCCCCAGACAGCCAAAAACCCAACCCCAGCTCTTTCCCTGCCCAGGCAGCCTCCAACGGGGGTGGCTTCCTTCCTGCCCCTCCTCCCAGCCCCCCAGCTGGCCCTCCCTTCCGGCCTACCCTCTCCCCTTACCCTCTCCCCTCTGGACCCGGGTCCCAGCTCTGTTGCCCGGAGACAGATACCTTGAGGATACTCACAGCCAGCGCTGCGTGCTTCTGCAGCCTGCTGTGCTGGCCGGAGGGCTTGGGGGGCTTCCCGGCCAGGCGGTCTTTGTGCCTCCTGCTGCTCAGGTGCTAATGGACAGACAGACAGACTGGGAACAAGATGAGGAACCCAAGGACCCCAAAACTACGGCTAGCTCACCCTTCCTCTACCCACAATTCACACACCTAATGCACATGGCCCTGGAGTGGCCCTGGGAAGGGGAGGTTAAGAATTGGCCTTCGCCTTCCAGGAGCCTCGCACCTCTTCCTCCACTGCTCCCTGCTCTGCTCTACCCACCTCCTCCCCGCAGGCTCCCTCCTCCCGGCCTGGCACTGGGCCCACCCCCCTCACCCCTGCTCCACCCCCAATCCCAGCCACGCTTGCCCCACCTGCTTGAGTTGGGTCTCTGAATTGACCTGGAGCTGACAGAGAGCACAGTGGAAAGGGGGCCTGGGCCCCTGCCGGCCCCCGCGGACACCCGTCACTCTCTTGGCCTTGTGTCCAGCTCCTCCCCGGGGCACTGCGTGGCCCCTGCCCCTGCGGGGAGCGCCCCGCTGACCTTCCACCATCCACCGGTGCTTGGCTCCTGGAGGGAGGAAAGAAGACAGCTTGCTAGCACCAAAGAGGGGCTTCAGGGGCCACGGAGACCCCCCTCCAAACCAGGTCAGTTTGGCTGCCCCCTGAAGCCTCCAGGCTGCTCAGCACTGCCAGCCCCTCCAGCCGTGTGAGATTTCTCTTTCCCTCCCCAGGGTCCTCCCGGCTGTCCTCATTTCATGCCAGCATCGCCCGAGGAAGGCCTCGTTGCTGAGTAACAGGTCGGCTTCCCTTTGGCTCTCATTCCAGCCCAATTCCCTCGGGTCTGATGCAAGGAGAGATGTGGGGGTGTCTCCTGTCTTCAGTGATGACCCTCCAGTTCTTGCTGCCTGACTTCTCTCCCCGACTCTCCCTCCTCAGGCATTACCGGGAGGACCTGAAATGCCCACCCAGCCACAGCTGAGCACAGCGCCTCTGTCACCTAGCCCTGGAGCAAAGTGCCCAGAAGCTCTAGCCTGCCCACATCTGCTGAGGGCCATCTCCTCCCCGGGACTCGAGCTGGTGAGGGGCGCACTGACCTGTGTTGTGAGCCTGAAGCTGGGAGGCGGAGTTCACGGTCACCTTACACGTGGGGCAGTAGAGGCGCCCCTTCTCGCTCCTGCCTTCCCCACTCACACCACTTTGCACAGCAGCCGCCACCGGTTCAGGCCCTGGCGCCTCTCTCCCAGGCTCTGGGGAGCAGGGTGGGCAAGAGGAAGAGGAGGAAGAGGAGGCAGCATCCAAGACGTCTGAGTGGGCCGGCTCCCTGGGCGTGGGTTCCGGACTCAGGGGTGGCTGGACTTTGGGACCAGGAGGAGGGGCTGCAGGAACTGCTGGGGAGATGGAAGGCATGGGGCAAGAGTGTGAGGCCCAAGGTGATTCTCGAGACCACGATTTTAAGCACAGATATTCTGGGGGTGGCATGGCAGATTGGAAGGGTCCCTGGTGTAGATATGACCAGCACTGAATTCCAGACTCCCCACCAAATCACTGGGCAGACTTGGGCCTCCTTGGGCCTCAGCTTTCCCACCTGATATGATAAAGTTGGATCCAGTGGTCTCAGAGAGCCCACCCAGCCCTGATGATCTACAGTCATTAGGGAACTGTTAAATATGTGGAAGTCACCAAAAAGATGTGCTAGAATATTCATGGAGCACTATTCATAGCAGCAGAAAACTGGAAACTATCCAAATACTTGTCAACAGGGGAATAGTGAAAAGAGTTGATGGGTCACGCAATGGAATATTACATGGCAATGAAAAAGGACAAAATACAGCTACACGCAACAACTTCTGATGGGGTTATATCCTGATAAACCCATCGTAAGTTGAAAATACCGTAAGTTGAAAATGTCATAAGTTGAAAATGCAGGTACTTCCCTGGTGGTCCAGTGGTTAAGAATCTGCCTTCCAATGCAGGGGACATGGGTTTGATCCCTGGTCAGTAAACTAAGATCCCACATGCTGCAGGGCAACTGAGCCCACGTGCCACAACTAGAGAGAAGCCTGCGCCTTGCAACAAAGAGCCCTCCCACCGCAACGAAAGATCCCGTGTGCCGCAACTTCGACACAACACAGCCAAAATCAATCAATAAAAAGGAAGGAAATTTTTTTTAAAAATGCATTTAATACACCTAACCTACAGAACATCATAGCTTGACCCAGCCTACCTTAAATGTGCTCAGAACACCTACGTTAGCCTACAGTTGAGCAATGTCATCTAACACAAAGCCTGTTTTACAATAAAGTGTTCAATATCTCATGTCATTTATTGAATACTGTGCTGAAAATGAAAAACAGATTGCTTGCATGGGCACAGAATGGTTGTGTGTCAGTTGTTTACCCTCCTGGGCACGCGGCTGCTGCTGACCAGCATCACAAAAGAGTATGCACCTACCGTATATCGGGGTCCCCACCCCCCAGGCCACGGATCGGATCGGTACCAGTCTGTGGCCTGTTAGGAACCGGGCTGCACAGCAGGAGGTGAAAGGCGGGTGAGCGAGTGAAGTTTCATCTGTATTTACAGCCACTCCCCATCGCTCGCATTACCACCTGAGCTCCGCCTCCTGTCAGATCCGCGGCAGCGCATTAGATTCTTATAGGAGTGTGAAGCCTACTGTGAAGTGCACGCGCGAGGGATCTAGGCTGTGGGCTCCTTATGAGAATCTAATGCCTGATGATCTGGGGGGGAGCTGAGGCGGTGATGCTAGCGCTGGGGAGCGGCTGCAAATACAGATCATCATTAGCAGAGAGATCTGACTGCACAGAGACCACAATAAATCAACTGCCTGCAGACTCATATCAAAACCCTATCCGTGGGGGGCTTCCCTGGTGGCGCAGTGGTTGAGAATCTGCCTGCCAATGCAAGGGACACAGGTTCGAGCCCTGGCCTGGGAAGATCCCACATGCCACGGAGCAACTAAGCCCGTGTGCCACAACTACTGAGCCTGAGCTCTAGAGCCCGCGAGCCACAACTACTTAGCCCATGTGCCACAACTACTGAAGCCCAAGTGCCCTAGAACCCATGCTCTGCAACAAGAGAAGCCACTGCAATGAGAAGCCAGTGCACCACAACAAAGGGTAGCCCCCGCTAGCCGCAACTAGAGAAAGCCCATGTGTAGCAACGAAGATCCAATGCAGCCAAAAATAAATAAATAAATAAATTTCTTAAAAAAAAAAAAAAGTCCTATCAGTGAGTGGCAAGTGACAATTAAGCTGCATCTTACGGAGTAGACTGGACATAAGCAACATACTTCGGGTGTCACTGTCTCCCATCATCCCCAGATGGGACCAACTAGTTGCAGGAAAACAAGCTCAGGGCTCTCACTGATTCTGCATTATGGTGAGCTGTATAATTATTTAATTATATATTACAATGTAATAATAATGGAAATAAATGTAATGCACTTGAATCATCCTGAAACCAACCCTCCCTCCCTCCCCGGTCCGTGGGAAAATTGTCTTCCGTGAAACTGGTCCCTGGTGCCAAAAAGGTTGGGGACCACTGCCGTATGTTGCTAGCCCAGAAAAGATCAAAATTCGAAACTGGAAGTCCAGTGTCTACCGAATGCATACGGCTTTCACACCGTTGTGGAGTCAAAAAATCATAATCCAGGGCTTCCCTGGTGGCGCAGTGGTTGGGAGTCTGCCTGCCGATGCAGGGGACGCGGGTTTGTGCCCCGGTCCAGGAGGATCCCACATGCCACGGAGTGGCTGGGCCCGTGGGCCATGGCCGCTGAGCCTGCGCGTCCGGGGCCTGTGCTCCGCGGCGGGGGAGGCCACAGCTGTGAGAGGCCCGTGTACCGCAAAAAAAAAAAAAAAAAAAAATCATAATCCAAACCACCATGAAGTCGGGGACCATCTGTATATCATTAACCAAAACTAGGTGAAATTGATCTCTGGTGAGAAAGGTCAGGCTCATAGTTACTCTGGGGGAGGGGTGTAGGTGGTTGGATAGCCTCACCTCCAAACTCATGTCCATCTGGAACCTCAGAATGTGATCTTATTTGGAAATAGGGTCTTTGCTGATGTAATTAGTTAAGACGAGATCATACTGGACTAGGGTGGGCCCTAATCCAATGACTGGTGTCCTTATAAGAAGACCATGTGAAAGCACAGAGACACTGGGGAAAATGTGATGTGAAGTCGGAGGCAGAGATCGGAATGAGGCATCCACAAGCCAAGGATTGCCGGCAACGACCAGAAGCTAGAAGAGCGGAATGAAACAGATTCCCCCCACCCAACCGTGCCCCCAGAAGGAACCAACCCTGCTGACACCTTGCTTCAAACTGCTGACCTCCAGAACTGTGAGAAAATACATCTCTGTTATTTTCAGCCACCCAGTTTGTGGTCATTTGTTATCACAGCCCTAGGAAGCTAACAACAAGGTAGTGACCGTGAGGGGACCCAAGGAGGGGCTTCTGGGGCGCTTGTGACACATTTCTTCATCTCAGCAGATCCAGACTGGAAAATCTGTGGTGCTCTACACATGTGATGTGTGCCTTTCCCTGTATGTATGGAATACTCCCACACGAGCAGGAATAATAATAGGCAGGAATCGCTCAACCCCTTGTCAGAAGCCAGATTTGGAGTGGGATGGGGGGAGAAAAGTTCAGGACTGACCTCTGCTCTGTGGCTCTTCAGGGGCTCCACTGGCTGGAGTCGGGGATGGGGACACCAGCGTCCCGTCCTGGGCCAGGGTTTGCGGCCTCTGCTTGCTCTTGGCGGCTTCGACAGCCTTGAGTTTTCTGGCGTGTTTGTGGCCTTTGTAGTGTGCTTCGGCCTGGTTCTGGGGAGGGGAGGGCATGGGGTCACCATTCATTGGCTGAGTCCACCTGCCCCATCCATGAGCTGGCGCTGGGCAGGGGGTAGGTCAGAGGGAGGCACGGCTCCGGCCACACAGGGGGCGCATCCTTGTCACCATCACAGCATGTGTGTGGCCCTGAGGTTTACAGAATGCATTCTCATACATGAGCTCCCAGGCAAGCAGCCCCTGGCTTCAAATTCTGCCTCAGCCGCTTATTAACTGTGCATCTTTGGGCAGGTCCCATCACCTCTCTGAGCCTCAGTTTCCTCGCTCGTGAGCTCTGTGATGATAATACTGATTTCAGAGTTATGAGAATTAAAATGAGAACATGAATGATAAGGGCCTAGTACAAGCAGTAGGTGCTCAGTGAATGTTAGTTACCAACAGGTTTATAAATGCACAAGTGGAAAAACAGAGCAGTCCCCACACTTTCGGGAATGTGCACCTCAGATCATTCAACCCTTTGTACATTTTTCCAACAAATAGTTATTGAACATTTGCTATGTGCCAGGCAAATGTGCTGGGCCTGGTATGAAGAAGATAACGGTTCCTCCCTCAGAGTGAAGTCTCTCTGTCCATCACTTGCATGGCTCACATAACCTGAAGGCCTGGAGGGACCCTCCAGATCTGGCCTGTCCACTAGGGGTCCCTTCTTGTTGCTCCCAAAAGTAGGAAAGACAGGCCCCCGTGGCCCCTCCCTGGGCACTTTCACCAGAGCAGGGAAGGTCCGCTCTCTAGGGCCGGGCCATGGTAGAAAGCATGCAGACTATGGGGTCAGCCAGGCCTGGGTTCAAATCCCAGCTCTACTTACCAGCTGTGGGGCCTCATGCAAGTCACTTAACCTCTCTGAGGCTGAGTTTCCTCATCTGAAAAGTGGGGCTGATGATAGTATCTCTATCCATCTCACAGATGTATCATGAGAACTCATTAAGAGGATAGGCATGAACACATTCTGGAAACTCTCAGGTGCATTAAGAACTCAGCTCTGGACTGAGAGCCGATGGCGACCCCTGGGACCCTGCCTTCTCTCTGGCAGAAGGGTCCAGGACACAGGAGAGAGGCATAGGGGAGGGAAATGAAATCCCAGGGGGATGGGATGGGACGGGGCAGAGGAATCTGGAGAGAGGAGAGGATGGGATGGATAAAGGACCAGGAGCGGCTCTTCCGCAACGAAGGACAGAAAATACGGAGCCCAGTCCCTTTGCCGCCCCTATTCCTCCAGGAAAGACCCCAGAAGCCCCCCTCCCCAGCCTGTTTCCACTACTCCTTCTCACCGCTGAGTTGAACCTCAGGTGACAGATGTTACAGGAAATGAAGAGCTTCTTCTTCAGAGGGGAGGGAACCCCAAATGTGTGACTGATGACGGCCTTCTGGACCGGGTCCATCTGTGAAGGGGGTGGGAGTGCACAATAACTTTGGGGTCAGCTCAGTAAGGGCAGGGGGCGGGCACTACAAAATGCCAAAAACTAAGACTATGGAGGAGGGCAGTG